TCCACATGGACTCCTTGGTCACAATGTTGTGGTAGTAGACCCTCTGGTCTTCGGTCTTATACTCCTTCCAGTGACAGTTGGCCAACAGTTTCTCGGTCTCTGACTTCAGTTCTTCGGGTTTATCCCAAGAGGACTGTTTGGTTTGGCTGTTGAAGTAATAGGTGCGACCGTCCGGTGACTTGAACTCAGCCCAAGTGGCGCTGGCATTGGGTGTCGGCGAAGGGGTGGTCGGAATGGGGGCCGCGTTGGGGCCGATGGGCGGCGCGAATGGGAACGGCATGAGGGGTGCGCTGAACGGCATCGTCGGCAGCGGTGGCGCCGATGTCTGACCCGAAGACATCATCATTGCCTGGTATGCGTTGAACTGATTCTGGTTTGACGGATGCATTCTTCGGTGGCAATCAAACCGCAATCACTTGTGGTATATGTTATGATAATTGCAATCAAATTGTCTTCAAATCAAACTCTTTCTGCCATTTGTTTGTATTCAATGCACTACTCGTCACAAAATACATAACAATTTTCCCTTCACTTTCACTTTATGTCACAGTTTTTGTGAATGCATTCACTTTTTTTATTGATAAAACAAACATTTTAATGATCGCAGCGTTTGTTTGTTCCCATTGGAGAGGGAATGACAGTTATATTGCCAGTATTGTAGTCATAAAGCAATGCATATGTCCGGGAATATAAGGAATATGAGGAATAATTGAAGAATCGAACGCTAATTAAATGGGCGAATGTGTTGACGTAATCGCATTTTGAAGCATTGAAACGCCATATCATTAATGCATTGAATGTCCACTCAATCACTGAATCGCTTCAATACTAACCATTCAATCAATTGAAGTCCAATTGAAACGCATTCCTAAGCATTGGTTTGTGTTTGCATTGCATTAGTATTGAATCGCAAGTGCTTTGAGTGGCAGTAGTCGTGGACAACACCGCAATGGCAGCGATAGTGATGACTGAGTCGGACATTCAATATGTTTCTCATGCGATGGACAAAGAGCTGATCCAATCGCCGAAACCCAAGCGAAAGCGTCAACGACTGGACCACTTGTCTAACGAAGAGAAACTGATGAGAAGGTAATGCCATTCAGTGCTTCAGATGTCGGCTGATCCGGGAGACCAGTTGAGGGGCGGGGGTAGGGGTGTAGTCACCATATGTGGCACCAGTTATATGATCACTATATAGTTAGCGTACACCGGATGGTAGGGTAGCGTACCGTAGGGCATACCGTATGTGTATATGTGGTGCACTATGTCTTGGGGGACAGTAGGGTCAGCACTGGGATGTGTTGAGTGGCAGATGACTGATGTGTTTGTATGTATAGGAAACTGAAGAACCGAATGGCGGCCCAAAGCGCTCGCGACCGCAAGAAGGTTAAGATGCATCACTTGGAGAGGGAGGCCATGGTTCTGGTCAAACAGGTCTGTCATGACTCATGAGTGCCACTAATTGTCTCAATAATGACTTCATATGTGATGAACTGAATAGAGAAACGCATTACTCATACAAAACGAGAAACTCGTGAAAAGCAATG